TCTCTTGCTGAGTCCTCTGTGACTCACGTAGAAGAAAAGTCACTCGTTCTGATTTAGCCTGAAACATTTAGAAAGCATCTGCTACCTGACTCATCCTGGATGCTCCTCCAGAGTGTCAGGAACTGAAAGAAACTAAGTTTTCCCCGAATGCTAGCAGGGCACATGGATTGCACAGTTCTAGTCTGTGTGCACTGGGGGTCTAGTTCAGCTGGCGTCTGCAGAACCTGTGTCTGGGGTGTGTGCCCAGTCTGATGGTACAGTACTGACCTCAGATACTAGGGCACAGTCAGAGAAGATGTCTGGGAATGGGTGTCCAATGTCGATGCGGCCTGTTCTGTATTGGGCATCAAACCTGTCCATGCCAGGCAAACTGAGCTACATCTCCAGCCCCCAGATGAGGCTGTACTTTGATTTTTTTAAATTTATTTATTTATTATGTATACAATATTCTGTCTGTGTGTATGCCTGCAGGCCAGAAGAGGGCACCAGACCCCATCACAGATGGTTGCAAGCCACCATGTGGTTGCTGGGAATTGAACTCAGGCCCTTTGGAAGAGCAGGCAATGCTCTTAACCTCTGAGCCATCTCTCCAGCCCTGTATTTTGATTTTGTATTGTGGTTTAAATGTCAAGAAATAAAAGACAGGACAGGATGTGGTCAAAAAGGCCTTCTTCCTCTCCATTCGCTCACACGTCCCCGGCTCAACATCATTTAAGCCTGACCAGGGCTGGTCCTGGCCTCCAGGTAACAGTGAGATTTTTCAAGGGACACAGAGAAGTGGCCTTCAGTCCCCCCGTGGGACCTGTGACATAGTAGCTGTGTCAAGTGGGAGGCAAAGGTAGGTGGTCCTTCTTACTTTCATTCAAGGCCAAAATGGTGGTCTTCATGAGCTCCTATCACAACCTCTGTTATCATTTTGTTAGAAATAAGCCCAGGGTCATGGAGAGACCACCACTCCAATGAAAGCATTTCAACAAGGAAGAACTTCCCTTCTAATCAGCAGGGGGTGCTACTCACCAAAGAAGGGGAGCAAGCCTGCAGGGACAGGAAGTCAGCTGGGCTTTTAATTCTAACATAAGTGGTGACTGTGGCTGGGATCTGACTTCACAGTCTTTCATGATTGGCTAGTTAGAAAAGAATTGGCACAAAAGAAATGAAGGAAAGTGGGAAGGAGTGGGCTGCTTGAGTCATTTAAGATCCAAGGATGCAGCAGGACCTTTGTATAAATGAAGGTTTTACCAGAGGTGTATTGTAGGGAGGGGGGAGTGTTAAAATATTTGCATGTAGGTTTTGCAAGGTGGGGTGAGAGGAAAAGATTCGCCTAAAGTCTTACAAAGTAGGAGAGATAGCAAGATGTGAATACTAATTGTAAACAGAAGCATTACAGCGGTTGACAGAAAGGATTAATATCTAATGTTTCTTAAATTTGGATCTAGAAGGGCTCTTTTCTCTTCATTGTTTTATGGTGCTGTAGACCGCAAGTAGCTACTAAGTGGGACTCTGCCCACTCTCTGGGCTCTGCTTCCCGGAGGCAGGTGGACAGCTCTTGAAAGGACTGGGAAGCCCTTCATGCCTTGGTTAAGGGTAGCTGCAAATTCACTGGCTGAATCAAGGCTCACAGACAAAGGAGAATTGTGACAATTTAGTTGATGTGTGTTCATTTGACATGTGTGTGTCCATGTCTGCATCTCTGTATCTGTGTGTCAACTTGTGTACGTGTAGATACATAGGTGTGCACACACAGGCACACGTGTAGTGAATAAATGGGAAAGGAACAGGGGAGGAGCCGGGAGGGCAGGGCTTCCTTGGGACAAACGTGAAGTGCTAACCACAAACTTACTGACTCAGTTGCTAGCCGGTGATGCTGTAGTTACAAAAGGAGAAATGAGAAGGGGGCGATTTTAGGGCTTTTCATAACAATGTACTCATGTGATCTTGGTAGAATTCTGCCCACAGTGACATCTCTTTTTTTTCTGAATTCCTTCCCCGTCCTTGATGATTCTGTATTAGGAATTGCTGTTTGTGCACAGATGCTCCCCCCACACTGGGCACACAGACATGATCTATGTCATCAGATGGCTTTACTACTTCCTTCGTAAATATATGCAGATTGAATGAACCATCATCAGCTCCTTCTTTCTGAATTTCATTGACATTGTTGGAAAAACTTGCAATTAGGAAGAAGTAAACAGTGTTGTAAGTGGTTAATAATTGGATAATTAAGATGATAACCCGATAAGTGGCAAACAGCTTGAGTTTCAAAGACCTTTGACACCTCTACGTCATCCCTGGCACTATAAATATACACGATTTCAGCATCCTTGGAGTTGCCTGACTTACACGTCTAAATGTTTTTGAGAGTAAAATGGGATTCATTTTACGAGCTTTATCTAATTGGCCACAAGGATCAAAAATTTCCATAGGTGTCAAAACCCTTTGAAAAACTGAGTGTTAGAAAGACCGAGACTGCTAAGTACGTATTGTTTAAGATCTTATGATTATAAAAGAAAAGAATACACACATGTCTAAAAAATATCTCAAGCTCTGTATTCATTGCTTTCATTAAATTCTCTCTCTCTCTCTCTCTCTCTCTCTCTCTCTCTCTCTCTCTCTCTCTCTGTGTGTGTGCGCACGCATGCACATGCATGCGTGACTATATGGGGGCTGGAAGTCAACATCTACTATCTTCCTCTATAATTCTCCGCCCTGATTTTTGAGGCAGGGTCTCTCACTGGATCTGGATCTCACCTCATCCACAGATCATTTCCTCAGCCCCTCATTAGATGCTCCTTTTAAAGGTCTTAGTGACTAACGGCTGTGTTGACGTTGGTACTGGTAGTAATAGTAATAGCTTCTGTAGCCTTGTTTGGTCTATGGAGCTCAAATGAGTTAGTTCAGCTTCACTCGTTAAAGGAGAGAAATATCTTTTTTTTACATTCACTTCCTGTTGAAACGAAAAGTGAAACTGAGCCACAAAGTCATTTTAATTCGAGTGTATTTAGCTGACCTTCTGCCCAGTGTTCTGAAATATATGCACTAATGGTCAGGAGACATTTGCCAATGACAGCGATGGGCTAGCACAGTCGGCAGAGTGACTAGCACGCAGGAGGCTCTGGGCCCGGGCTCCAGCATTGCACAAACATACGCACACACAAATACACAGGCGGCACAGACATGGACGCAAAATAAAGAAATGTAATTTCTAAAAGTTTTAATTAAAAAAATCGTCATTTTCACTGTTCGGGGAACTTAAATGTTTAGCAATGAGCGACATCACAAAGCCACTGATGTCTTTTGTCACTTTCAGCCTGGATTTGAAACTTGTCGGTCTTCTGGCTTACTCTGAACATCATGGAAGTACATTTTTCTCCGGCTGCCCTTGAGTGTTCAGTCTCTCCTTTGGAGCATTCGGCCAGCGACCTCCTTCTGCCCTGGCCTGCTTTCCTAATAAAAGCCGTGCTCAGGGGGAATAAATAGGGGTGTCTGCTCTCCTTGGTGAGGGCAGAGGGACCCTCACCTCTTCCTGTTTTTTCCCCCGTGAAGACAGAATTCAGCACATGGGTGTGGTTTCCAACTCTCCTGCCTTGCGATTCCTCCCGGGGTCGTTTCCTTTCTGGCCTTGCTTTGGGCCCGTCCCAGGCCTCCTGTGGCGGTGGCCTGACTTGCTGCAGGTACCAACAGTGTGACATGTACCCACCGCACTCGATGCCCTCTGGGGATGCCCTGCTGTAAGGCGTGCAGCAGTAAAATGCTTCCCTCCAGCTCACACACTCTCTCCGGGCGGCGTTGTGTTCACTCACGTAGTTCTGGCTCATTTCAGAGTCCTGAGCCTCGAGGGTTTTGTTTCTAACAGGGAGTCCGGAAGTCCTCCATGGGTGGTGGGTGGAAAGGGACGCTGATACTGAGATGCTGTCTGCTATAGCAAAATACCACAGACTAATTTATGAAGAAAAAAGTATCTGTCACAGTTCTGCACTCTGGGTGATCCATTAGAAGATGGGAGGAAATCGTACTTGCCAGGCCTTCTTGCTGCATACGCCCACGGTGGGCAGAAAGAAGGCGAACAGCATCAGCCATGCAGAAGTCAAAGAGAAAAGGCCTGGAGAAGAGGCAAGGGTACCACACTCACCGTTTTACTAGGAACTCGTTCCCATGGCAGCAGCAGCATCCTTTCATGAGGGCACAACCCTCATGGCCTCTTAAAGGTCTCAGCATGGTCGTCTTGAAGTTTTGCAGTACTAGTGATGTCTGTGGATCCCCGGCTCTTCCAGTACGTGGTCGTCTGAGCCTCTGGGCACCGTACATCCCAGGTCTCCATTTTTCCACAGGAAGTCCCGCCCATTCCTTCTCTGTGGGAATCAGCTGGGCTAGCCAGGACTGCCGCATGTTTTCTTTCAGTCTGGTTTTCTTGACCCTGAGTGGACTAGCCCTAGCTGTTTGCAACAGAAAGGGCTTAAGATGGACACAGAGAGAAATGCCTATGGTGGGAATAGGGGACTAAATATTTGGAGCCGAACACTTGGGATAGCCGCCTAACTTCATGGCACAGGGCTGTAACCCAGCACTTGGGAGGTAGAGGGGGGAGACAAGTCATCCCTGCCTACATTCTAAGTTCAGACAGACTGATGGGGAAATCTTGTTAGCCAATTATCTTTAAGAAGTGGATTCAAGGATTAGGTGTGGCTTTCTGGGACCCACAGAGAAAAACATGGGCACGGACCAGGTGCCCTCTCTGTGTAGTTCCACTGCAACCGAGCAGAGCCTGGACCTTCCGTTCCTGTGGTGTGAGTTTCCCCTTATGATAAATAAAAATATAATTGTTTATCCTTTAAGCTAGCCTGGTTATTTCACGAATCGAGTTAGCTTCTACAGCAGACCTGGCTACTAGAGACCCTGTCTCAATCATGGATAAACAAGCAATTGTAATAAGAGTTACGCCTTGTGGCCTACTTTTCACTAACACCTAACAGGTTCTGTCTCTCCTCCCCGCTACCCTGCAGGCCGTTGGAGCGATCGAGTGAAGATGTGGACATAATCTTCACGCGCCTGAAAGAAGTGAAAGCTTTTGAGAAATTCCACCCAAACCTCCTACATCAGATTTGTTTATGCGGTTATTATGAGAACCTGGAGAAAGGAATAACACGTAAGCGCTGGAACTCCTGTGGCATGTGCATGTGTGGCTTGTGCTCATTCGTGTGTGCAGTGTGGGTACAGACAACATCCACAGAGTCGGTATGACAGATGTCCGAGCTTCCAAGTGAGCTGACATCTCTCCTGTGTTTACTCTGCTTCTCACTTTTATGTTTACAGTGGGGGGCATTGTTATCCCTACCCCCAGGGCAGCAGCTCACTCTCCAGATGGGAGGACAGACAGACACGTTAATTTAGCTGTATCCTTAGGAAGGACGGATAGACACATTCATTTAGCTGTGTCCTTAGAGATTCAAATACCTGTCTTCTTTAATCAAGGAAGGATGTGGCTGGGCTGCAGACAAAGCTTTCTTATCTAGTGCTGTTAGCTATGTTTTGAACGGACCTCAGTAATAAATGTTATCCACCCCGTGTGAATCGGGGGCAGAGAGGATAAAACAACGAGGTGAGCACCACATTCTTAGGGTGTTTTTCTTTGCGTTGAGAAAGCAGCATCTCCCCGTTTCTAGGTGTGTTTTATGCCTCACTAACAGAACACTTCCATCTAACTGCCTTGAATAACCAATGACTCATTCCAGAAGAAAAAAAATGTTTCTCATCTATGAAAGCCCTGAGGTGAGATGATTCATAGCTGGTAGAGAATGGCTTCTGCCCCCCCCCCCCAGTCTCTCCCTTTACCTCACGGGTTGGCATGTGCCTCGGGCAGCTGCAGCAAGTGGAGGTCTTCTGGGTCCGCAGCCCAAATCCTCGCTGAAGGACCGTGTCTCCCGAGTCCCCCAGCAGCCTTCCTGTGCGGTGTCACTGGCCAGAGTTGTACCCCGTGGCTAAAGTCCAGACCAATCCCTGGCAAAGCTGATGAGATGTCCTGGATTGACTAGAACAATCTTCACCATACCAGTGGGACGAGGGCAGGAGCTCTTGGACCAGGCCTCCTGTAGATGAGGGTGTGAACTTGGATAGAATCTGGCTTGGCTAAAGAAGACCCTGTGTGTGTGTGTGTTACATGTGTGCCAGAGCCTTCTGAGGTCAGGGGAGGATGTTGCCTCCCCTGGAGCTGGAGTTTCATGTGGTTGTCTGACAAGGGTGCTCAGAACTGAACTCTCTGGAAGAACAGTAAATGCTCTTAGCTGTTGAGCCATCTTTCCAGCCCTACTGATGATTTTCAAGATTATGTGAGCTAATATCTAAAAGGTCTTTCTCTAAGATTGCAAACTCAGAGAGAGTTCAGGTTCAGAAGCTTCAGGTGAGGATCATAGTCAAATGCCTAAAGTGCAGTGGAATCAGAAAATAAACAGAAAAGCTACGACCCCGCCCTTACAGTGTTATAAATAAAGTCAGCCGTCCATTGGTCAGTTTAAAAGGAAACCCATTAGTCTGCAAAACACATTATATGCATTCATTTATTTATTAACTTGTTTACTTACTGGCAGAGTCTTGCTATATCATCCCTTGGGCAGGCCACAGACCCATGGTCCTCTTTTGTCTCAGCCTCCTGAGTGCTGGGTCCGTGGGTATGCTGTCATAGTGCTTTTGCCTTTAATACAGAGCCGTGAAGTTGGGTGGCTGAGTGTGGCGAGTCAAATAGCCCCGTCCCCATTTAGACTCATAGCTTCCAAGCGTCACACTGCCGTGAAGTGTATTTAAAGTAAGTCTCACAGAATGTTAGTGAGTCTTTACAGTCAATGCTTTGTGTAGCCCTGGTCCTGGAACTCACTCGGTAGACCAGGCTGGCCTCCAACTCACAGAGATCCGCCTACCTCTGCTCCCAAGTGCCGGGGTTAAAGGCATGCGTCACTATGTGGGGCCAATGGATCTTCCTGCAGTCAGGGTGATCAGTTAGTTATTGTAGCTCCCCGTGTGGGAGTGTTCTGTAGATAGGGCATCTGCTTCCGAGGATGTTGAATCTATAGGATAAGCTTTGTGGATGGATGGTGTGGAGGAAAGCCGTGTTGTGTTCTTGTGGGAGCAGAGAGGGAAGGTTGAGAATAAGCCATGCTTGTAATACCCAGTGAAGATTTATCTGGTTAAACAAACAAGCAAACCTGTACACGGTATGTTTACATCACTGTTTCTTTTCCAGTATTTCGCCAAGGTGATATTGGAACCAACTGGTACGCTGTCCTAGCCGGGTCTTTGGATGTTAAAGTTTCTGAGACTAGCAGCCACCAGGTAATCTCCCCTGTCATTAAGAAAAACTGATAGATGCTTTATTATGTTGTTTTCAGTTTTCTAGATGTTTATTTTTTGAGAATTTCATACGTGAGTGTTGTATTTACACCATTTCCTGTCCCCCTTCCCATTCCAGCTCCTTGTGTCCTTTCCCCACTCCTTCTCAAGTTCATGACCTCATCTACCATGCTATTTTCTCAGACACCTTTTCAAATCTACTTCCCCACATTAAGTGCTTGTTGAATTTTGTTCTTTAGCCATGTCACAGACGTTGAAAGTCTTGTGTGATGTGAGCTTGGTGTCAGGAGCTGGAACATTCAGTGCGGAAATGCACCGGCTGGCTGTCTCCTGAGAAGTGCAGACAGTTCTACTGCAGGGTGATAGACAGGTGCATCCTTGCTGTAGAAGGTGAGGTGAACACCAGAAGGAAGAATGTTCCCTGCCTTCCTTGGGCTGTGACTTTTCTGTGGATCACTGACCGAGATGCAGGGGAGAGTGGCTGATGCAGGCGCCCTTCATGACCTCTCTTTGCTAGGTTAGGGTGATGGCTCAGTCAGGAAAATGTCTGCTCTATAGACACAAGGACCCGGGTTTGGAGGCCCAGCATCCACTTAAAAGCCTGGCATAGCCATATACATCTATAGTTCCCAGAGGGAGGCAGAGACAAGCCAATCACTAGAGCATATTGGCCAGTGACTTGATGGGTTCCAGATTCAAAGAGAGACCCTGGCTCAATGAATAAGGTGGAGTCCAATGGAGGAAGACACTCAACATTGAAACCTCTGGCCTACACACACACACACACACACACACAATGTATAAGTTAAGACAGTTTCTGAGCCCTTTTTGGCAGCACACTTCAAATGGGAAAATCTTTGTTATTCTAAATTTGAGATTTACATTTTGTAGGGACTAGAGGGCAATCATTCTCTCTCTTTTTTTTCCTTAATTAAGATTTATTTATTTATTTATTTATTTATTTATTTATTTATTGTGTGTTGTCTGCATGTAAGCCTGTGTACCCCATGCATGCCTGATACTGGAAGAAGTCAAAAGAGGGCATCAGATCCCCTGGAACTAGAGTTATCCATGGTTGTGAGCCACTGTGTGGGTGTGAACCCAGGTCCTCTGAAAGAGCAACAAGTGCTCTTAACCACAGAGCCTTCTCTCCACAGCCCACAGTCACCCTCTCAGATCTGCAGTGGCATCCGAAAAGACTGATGGTGGCATGGGGCTTGGAACCCAGCTGGTTTCCTGTGTCAGGCCCACTGCTGTGCATGCTTTCTCTCCCCTCTGGCGCCCACGTCACCCTGGTCCCACAGGCATTTCCCGAGTGTGGCAGTGCAGAGAACCCACCAGACACGGCCTGCAGCCCGCAGCCCCCAGCTGTGTTGGCTTGTCTCCTATTCTCTCTCAGGACTGGGTTTCCTTGGATTTCAGAAAGGGCTTTGACTTTTATCAGCTGCCTCAGTTTCCCATTGGATCTGGAAACAGCTGCATTGTTTGCATCGTCACCCCTGGTAGGCAATAGTCAGAGTGAGAGTCAGAAAGAGGAAGGGAGGACAGAGACAGAGAGGCAGAGAGAGGGATTGATTTTAACGAGTTGGCTCCCAGGATCGTGGGGCTTGGCGAACCCCAATGCCTAGGGCAGCTGCTAGGGGTGGGGAAGGTGGGGGGCATGAAGGTAGAGGGGCGGAGATAAGAGCTGGGGCTGCCTTCTTCAGCACGGAGACTGGACCCTTCTTTCTTCTATGGGGAACCCCAAGTGGAACAGATTTGTTCTAAAGATTGTCAGCTGGTTGGGGGTAAGGCCCACCTATGTTGAGAAAGGTAATTTACTTTCTCTGAAGTTAATTTTTATGGGTAGGAAGTTGACTCAGCCGGTAAAAATGCTCATTGTACAAGCCTGGAGTACCCAGTTTGTTCTCTGGGACTTCTGCAAAAGGGGGAAGGAGGGATTGAATTCCACAGAGCGGTCCTCTGACCTCCCCATGTGTCCTGTGGTATGTTGTGTCCCCCTCAACTAACACATAAAAAGGAATAAATTTAAATTTTACTTACAGTAATATTAATCACATCCAGAAAGACTTCACAACATCTAGTGCTTACCCGAGGAAATTGCCACTAGGTTTGCCTAGAAAATCTATTATAGCACTATCCCTTACACCTGTGTACACGACCGGCCTCATCTTCAGCATTTAGGTGCTGCTGTACCATAGACTTGGTCACAGGGCTCCGTGACAGTGGTTCCAACTCTCCTGGGGCCGCAGAGCTGCGGATCAACTTTGGATTCAGGTCTGACGTCGTCCAAAGTTTCCATTCTTCCCGCTGCCCACACAGTAGGTGGAGGGTGAGGGGTGGGACGTGGTGAAAGAGAAGGAGAACCGGTTACAAGGACTGAAGGGAAACAAGAGAGGATCGAGCAGAACTCTGTTCAGGCTCAAGTTATCGCGAGAGCGGAGGGCAAGCCTTTCTCTGCAAGCCTGCGTCTCCATTTTCTCTCTAAGACCCTCTCTCTGCTGTTTGTCTGTCTTTTCACTAAGTCAAAAAGGGCACAAAGACAAGTTCCCCCAATGCACCCCGAGTTCCAGCCCCCGTGTGTGAGTGCATTAGCCGCTTTCTGGACCAGAGTGGTAAGCAAAGAGCAAGACTGACTTCTGGTTCAGGAGCGCCACCTACAGGCAGCTGTGCACTGAGCGTCCTCTGCCCATCTCAAGGGCCACTCCCTGCACACATCTCTCTTTTTCTTGAGAGTTCTGGTGGGATTCATTTGATCCCACTGATGTGCTGATGCCCGTTAGGTGTGGCAGTCAGTTCCCTGTGATGCTGGGGCTTATAGTCCTGGACCATAATTGTAGTTGGGGGTCCGCTCGTTCGTTTCCCAGCCACCTAGACCCAAAATAAACTATATTAATTGCAACACCACTTGGCCTATTAGCTTAGGCTTTTTATTAACTAATTCTTACATCTTAAATCAACCCATTTCTACTAATCTGTGTATCACCACAAGGCTGTGGCTTACCAGGTAAAGTTCCAGGGTCTGTCTAGCCCCTACATGGCGCCTCCCCGACTCTGCCTACTCTCTCTCCATCTCTGTTCAGATTTTCTACCTGCCTTTACTCTGTTAAGCCATTGGCCAAAAGCGGCTTATTTATTAACCAATGGCAATAAAACATACTCACCGCATACAGAGGGCAATCCCACATCACATAAGGAATGCCCGAAGGATGGGAAGAGGGAAGAATAGAAGCGAGGGTAGCTAGGATCACCGTTGTTGGAAGCCGCAGCTTCCCCTTGGCTCCTCCAGCCACTCCTTTGCATGTGATGCCAGCCCAGAGCCACACCCACCTTCTCTTTCTTGAACACCTCGTAGATCTAGTGACGTGCAGTTAAACCAGCATGGCCCAGCTTCCACAGGACGCCCAGGTTGGAGTGAGGTAGACAAAGAGAGAAAACTGAGGGACAGACAGCAGGCTACAGGGCAGAGGCGAATTCACGAGAAGGGATGTTGATAGGTTGTGTGGGCAGCGGGGGAAAGGAAGGACCTTGACTTGGGTGAAGAAGTGGGTGGTGATGTCCCGAAGGGATGGGCCCAAGTTCCGACAAAGTATTGCTTATGCTATACATGTATTGGGTATTGTTGATTTGATACCTTTTTAAAATGAAAGTTACCCTATTTTATGTAGTGATGGGGGAGTTAAGGATGCATATATAAATATTCTATTGGCCTCATAAGCTCCTCTTACCTTCCTGAGCATCCTCTATGCTATTTCTCCTTTCCATTGCCCCCAGCTGTGCCCATGGTCTCCTTAGGATGACAGAGTGGGAAGCTGAAGAGCTAGAGGCCACCAGGATTCCTGTCATTCCCATGTCCTTTCCTTGCCATTGTCAACGTTAGTCACCATGCGCGGCCTTTCGAGGTGTCCAAAAGCTCCTCAGCGGTCTCCAGGAGATCTAGGGGTAGCGTGCGTTCGTGGTTGCTCAGTGAATCGCAGATACCTGAGATCGCCGTAAGAAATCCACTGGTCCCACATTGTAGAAAACTGAAAATTATTCAGGGGATGGGTGGGTCTATGAGCTGCAGGCCCTTTGCTCGTGGGGAGGATTGAAGACAGGCCACTGTGTTTCAGGCCACGGGATGGCTTACCTCCCAGCACAGGCTCGGTCCCACTGATCAGCTTAACAGCTACCTGGTTGAGAGTGTGTGTGTGTGTGTGGGGTGCAGGTAGTGAGGGAAAGGTAGGAACTGCTGCCCACAACCTCACTCTGTCTCTGAAGGACCCCAAATCCTGTTGAGAGCCGCACAGCTCACTTCTCAATCGATTACATTCTTCCTTTCCCTGTTGGACCCCAGAGACACACCCTCCTTCTGCAGCCTTGTTTTCTGGGCAGCGGAGTTCTGCCAGATCAAGGCTTCCAGAGCAGCCTGGATGGAGGGAGAGAGCCCCTGGATGGGATGGAGGGAGAAAGCCCCTGAATGGGATGGCAGGGACATGATCCGCCATCCAGAGACCTTCCCCGAGGAGCTGAAGCTCTTGCTCTCATTTCTGCATGGCTACCTTGAAACCATGTTTGCCTTACGAATTCTGGGAAATGCAGAGCGGCTTCTGTTCATCCTGTGCTGAGGAACGTCCAGAGACCTGCACACCCTCACTTCTGTCTTGGAATACACCATGTTTAACGCTCTCGCCATCAAACAAAACCCAGGCTCACTGAAATGCATGGTGTTACAGGCAGCCTTTCGACTTTGGCCATTACTCTGTCTTATAAAACTATGACCAGCAAACAAGGGGGCATGCCTACAGGCAGCATCCTCGGCCAATGGAGTCCCAACATGGCTCACATATTCATGAAGAGTTCTACTTGGCCATGGGGATCTTGTTGAGGACTAGTCTTTCCAGTTCCTCAGGGATACCTGTCTGTACCTCCAGGGACATCAGAGCCCATCACCAAAATCAAGCCCCAGAACCTCAGGTACTTTCAGGTCTGCTTACTTGGGC